ATTGTAGAAGTTACTTTGAGTTTATAATTATTCACACCAGTGTTGGTGTCCTTCTGTAACTGAGACACCCTATATATTTATAAAGAATACCATATATTGTATTGTGAATACCCATATATTGTATTTGTATATTTCTATATTACAAATAATAGAAAAAATAGAAATATACAAGTACGATATTTTATTAAGTTTTCGTTTAGACTACAGTAACAATGTAAAAATTACTTTCAATCTATAATATAATTACGCACATCACTGTACATTGAGGTTTTAAAGGAAATGTTCTATTAATAATATTCAAGAACTATATCATATAATCAACTTTATTTAAACGATTCACATTATTAAAATACTAAAAAGTGGCAATTCATGACTTATTTTTAATAATTAATAAACTATTGAGAAATAACGAGCGATTACTAGATGATAACATATCTCAAGGTCAAAGTTATCAGAGCAGTTCCCCCAATGTAAATAATTATGTAAAGCTTTTTTCTCCAGCTAATAAAACCGATAGTCGAATCTGATATAGATCTGGATTAATAATTTACGATATCAACGAGGCGTAGATTAGATCTGTGTGAGGTTTGGGTGATAGTTGGACAGTGTTCGAATTATTACGAAAAAAAATATTTATCTAAAATAATTATTCGTATGAATTCTTTCTAGTCGAATATTTTATTCGAATTACAAATATTCATTATTCGTAACAAATTATTCGTTGCATTTATTCGAATTACAATTATTAATAAAAATTATTCTATCTATTTAGTCGAATAATGATTATTCATTATACAAATTATTATATAACAAATTATTCTATATATTCGTCGCAATAATTTTTACTTATTTCTTCTAATAAATTATTCGAATACAGATTGTAGAATTATTCGATTAATAATTCCAATAATTGTTAACCGTTCTTTTCACGTAATTTTGTACATACATGTGTGTTGTATACGTACATGAATTCCGGAATGTACGATGACATCCTTTGCAGTCAAAGAAAAATTATTTATTTATGCATCAATGATCAATCTACCAAGAAATAA